CCCCCCCCCCCCCCCCCCCCCAAGGAAAAAAGCTGCGAGATGATGATGGCCGCAACCGCGCTCGCCGGACGCGATGACGAAACGGACGAAATCCTTCGCGTGCCTCCCGCGTGCCTCCCGTGTGCCTCCCGCGTGCCTCCCGTGTGCCGAGGCCAACTCCGACGGAGCGGAGATATTCGACATGCAAAATTCACTTAACAATCTTGCAAATGACGAATCGAGAGATGAAGGCCGCGACTTTTAGCCTCGGGCAGTGAATCCCATCAGCCGAAGTCTCGTATTTCGCGTGAGAAGGAAGACGTCGGAAGCGACATTTAATGAAACCTAGGGTTAAAGTCACTCGCTCAGGTGCCAGCATTTCTGTGATATATGGGGGCCCATCAATTTAGTATCACGTTCATTCCCTACATGAAACGAAAGCCTGGAATTAGTGTAAGTCACCCTATGATTACAGTACTAGGAGAAGAAAGCAAGTCTATTTTGCAACCGAGTCGGATGTGACATCTTCTCGAAGTTCGTCTGAGAAACGGAAGTTCTGCACAAATCTTTATTGTTCGGCTTCGTCGATGAGAATCTCGAGAATGGTACTAATAACATATGATAATGACTTATTCTTTCATTTAAAAATAAATAAAATAAAATTCCCATTCATACCTTCCGGGACTCGAATTACGAAATCTCGTATAGAAAGCAATGCCCGCAAATTGAATGAAAACTCCGGACGACTTGACTTCGCGTGGACAGACTCAAATGTCGCGCCGAATCAGTTCTACGAAATCGTGAAACTTTTGGTTTCACTGTGTGTTCGGTGAGGTTCGATCTCCTTTGCCCCGGTTTCCTCCTATTTTCTCAGGCGTGGAGGCCTGTAAGGCCTCCGAGAGTAAGCCGTGAGTAGTGAGCAATGAGTAGTGAGCAATGAGTAGTGAGCAGTGAGCAGTGAGCAGTGAGCTGCAAGACGTCATCGCCCAACTCTCAACGATGAATCCCATTCCGGTCTTTACGAGACGTGAGGTGGGACGACTCCAATTCTTCCCGAACGAAAAGGCGGCTTCGTCCTCTCTCTCTTCTCTCTCTTCTCTCTCTCTTCTCTCTCTCTTCTCTCGTTTCGGCCTGCAGAATTTTGCGACTGGCACGATCGCGTCTCGCAAGTGCGCATCCGTGGAGCTTCGTGCGAGATTTGTGTCGTTTCTTCGAGGCTTCGGCTCTGTGGAAAGCCGCCGAAATTCCGCCTGGCATTTATATCGGCTGCCACGAAGAATCGACGAGTTTTCGCTTCTTTTGGACGGCAATCACACGGGTTAAAGCTTTACGAGGGGCGATATTACTGAATATCATGCGTCGTATCGACGATGACATCGTTCGCTCGGGAACCTCGGATCTGATGCCGAGGAGAAATTCTCGAGCAACGGTAGATTTGGGAGGATTATCCTTATCCTGCTGCTGTTGCAGATTATTTTGCCTAAGAAGGACGCAAAGACGATGCCCCATCTGAGGAAACCTTCGAGAAATAATTAATCGATCGGCGTGAAATGCAGCTCTCGCTGCATGCTTCGCATCTCTCTACTGATCTGATATGGTGTCCATTCGAGCCAGTTGCCAGCCAGTTGCCAGCCAGTTGCCAGCCAGTTGCCAGCCAGTTGCCAGCCAGTTGCCAGCCAGTTGCCAGCCAGTTGCTAGCCAGTTGATGTGACTCGTGGGTCGTCGCTTTCACCCTTTCTTCTCCGATACTTGGCCATTCTTTGTGAAAGTGGCTTCGTCCGACATCTGCAGCTTCCAGAGTAACGAAATGCTTGCGAACGAAGCACTTCCTGGAAACGGAATAAGAAGAGTGTAATGGTTGACTCCATTCATCACCGTACTTTTCCACTTTCATCTCGGCGTCTTCATCGAGCATGTGGCTCGGTCGATCCGAAAACAGGGGTGAAATAAGGCCTATCCTACGAACCTACTTAGTTACGAGTCACCGACTCACGCAAAGTTTACAGGGAAAGGCCACCGGCCGTCTTGCGAAGAGGAAAAGATGTCCCTTGCGTCTCCAAAAAATGTTCCTTTCTACTTCCACGATGCCTTTCGCGCGACGAGCGAATGTGCGACCGAGGAAACGCACTGCACGAGGATCGATGAAGAGTGGAAGGAGGCTCGAGTGTCTGCCATCAAAGAGACTCTAAAAGAGGGGCATGAAGTCATCGGACAAGAATCCCGTCCGGCTTTCATAAACGACAACCAGTTCACTGGAGAAAAGAGAGGGAGGAGTAAAAAAAAAAGAAAAAAAAAAAAAAACGTTACGCGATCGGGAATGGTTCTCGGGAAGTCGGAATACAACCGTGGCGACTGCTGGCGTCAGCCGCATTGGCTCCACCTATCCCGAATGAGAAGGCGGAGTCTGTTCCACGAATTCTCCCTCTCGTCTCGTTTGTCATCATCCTCATCAACTTCCTTCGGCTCCTTCCGATCTCGTCATTCCTTCCCTCACTTATGCTGTGCATGCGCTCGCGAGGCAGTGATTGCTCATCAGTGACCGATGAAGGGGAACGAAGAAAATCAATGGCTGCCGATCGGACGGGTCGTCCCGGATCAGCGGGCCAAGTTCGAGTCCGACGATCTCATCAGGAAACTCAGCCGGGAATCCGAAGTGAGTGCGAATTCAGAGCATCGAGGGGAGAAAGACCTTTCTCTCGCTAACTTAAGCCGTTCCGGGTAATCATCGTTTAAATTCACCGACGTTCAATGGACTCGCGATGACGACGGCCTTGGCCTTGGAGAATTTTTCTCTCTCTCCGCCTTGAAGGCTGACAGTGTTTGCAGCGAAGGAGACATGATCGAGTGTGAATTATTAATGAGTGAATGGAATTCTGGATTCCATAGGCATGCTTTGAAGGACATCCATGAGATCGACGCGTGAATCCGCGACATTCGATCGAGATTTGATTAAAGCAAGAGTTCATGTTCTATTCGTTCAGAGCAGTTAACACAATGCTCTCTCTTGCCAAGCGAAACGCCTAAAATTGCCTTGACATCTGTTCGAATAGTTGCCTAGAAATTACGTGGCGGATCGAAATATCACGAAATATAACATCGGACCATGCGATAGGCGTTCGGCGCATGGAACTTCCTCGAATGAAATCGGAGTAGCGCCTCGAAAGACGAACTTTGTTTCCCGATAACTTGTTTCGCCCACAAAGAGCCGGGAACGACCCCTTTCCGCCACCGTGAACGGTTGCCGAACGTTACGCCGGTTCCATCGCGAGTCCCCTTGCCATCCCTCGATCCCTTTGCCATCCCTCGATCCCTTTGCCCTCCCTCGATCCTCTTGCCTTCCCCTTGGCGCCTCCATCCCAAGGATGCAACATCAATCACAGAGAGAGCATTGTGCGCCGCGGCGGATGTTTCTCATCGTTCACCCTTTTTCCAGGTCAGATACACGGGGTACCGAGACAGGCCGGTCGCCGAGCGTCGCTCTCGCTTCGAAACGGGGTGCAAGGATGGCCACACGGAAATTGTGAGTTCTCTCTCTCCTAGTTTATTGCAGAAATAACTTGAATTCGTCTTTTTGCAACTCGAATCGTCAAAAGTCGATAGACCGGATTCGCAGATATCAACGGACGCGCTCGGTCGCTTACGGCCTTTAGGAAAAGTGCATCATGAATATGTTACTTTCGTCCTTGGGAAAGAACACATGATGTATAGCGGAGAAAATAGTACACGATACTAACGTTAGTATCGCGTTAGCTGAGACCTATGCATACGGTACAATCATAGAACGCGTCAGATCATCGCTTCTGCTTCGCATAAGAATGAGTCCGCAGGATCCGCTATAATTAGGCGTTATAATTACTGACTGCTCTGTCTCTTCGTTTCGTTCACACCGTTTCCTCACCTGCCGGCGACGGCTGACGCTGCAGTACGCTCAGTCCTTGCTTCGAAGTTGCGGTGCAGATTCCCTCCTCGAATCGCGTCGAGTTTTCGCATCGGGAATCTCTCGTTCGGATGGCCGTCCAGATATACACAGTTTACATGTAGATATCGACTCTGTGTCACATCTTCATCATCAAAGAGGCCAGAGAGAATTCATGGGAACGAAAGTGGCGAACGCGGCAGGTTCGTCGCGAATGCACTTAGTGGAATTCGGTGTGGAAACGGAATGGAACAGTTCCAATCCATTCTTGTGTTTACTGTGACGTGTGATCAGAAATTCTCTTGTTCTTTGGAGGCACAATATTCTTTTCCGAAGTTTTTTTTTTTTTAAGGATGATTTCGAGATTTTGTTTTCGCAACACGACATAACCGTCCTTCTATATTCCCTTGAATAATGAGGCTTTCAGAGTGACGATTGCAAGAAATTTAAGAAACTGAAGACACCAAGAATAATGCCGAAGATCGTTAGCGTATAAAAGTTGAAATTCCTCGATGAATGGCTCTGTGCCTCTCGCCGATTCTCGGAAGCACGGGAAACCCTCTATACCCTTCGAGTGATGCAATTCTCAAAGTGACAGAGAGCAGATGTGGCATTTACTGCGGTTTGAGCCGGAAACGGATTCGCGAATGTGCGTCGAGACCCTCCCCCCCCCCCCCCCCCC